TCCTCATTAACCAGCACAATAAAAATGGCTTGTAAATGAGACACTTTTTTTTGCGCGACTAGTCTTAAGTGTAAAATAGAGGACAATCTGAGATCCCCCGATTTACTGTCCCTGTGGATAGATTTATTAACAGTACAGAGGATAAGATGGCTATTTGAACATAATATTCCTTTTGATTCCACTTTAGCCTTTAGATGTGGTTCAAAGTCTCCAATACCTGAGAAAAATGGAGAATAAAGATGTCAAGGTTTTGACCGTTCTTTAGTCACTCCAGTTTGGCTGTACCCAAAAGTGAGGCATTGCCGGATGTTTTAATTTGTTAGGTGTGCATCTGGGGGCTGTTTTAGGGCCTGAATTAGTTTCACTATGTTCTAGTTGTGCTTTCAGGTGTATGTTAAGGGCCCATACTAATCGTTGCGTAGGGATGGAGAGATGAAGGCCGAACCTCTCTCCATTTCCTCTCTCTCTCTCTCTCTCTCTCAGGCTCTCAGCTCTTCCACTCGGTCGCCTGTGTACTCGTGCAGTTTCTGATGCTCCGGCTCATGGGAAGAACAGTGACCGGAATGGTGAGCAGTTTCCTCTTCCAGATGGTGAGTACCTGACCCGTGTCGTCTTTTTCGCCCTGCTGACCTGCTCTTGTCACGCTGTTCTTGACAGGAAATGGCCTTTTCTTTTGCGCCAGCGTCTCAGAAGAGATGTTTGTGCTTTTCCCCGTCTCTCTTTCACAGATGTACCTCCTCCTGGGCTATTACTACACAGCCACAGATCAGTACGATATCAAGTGGACGATGCCTCATTGTGTGTTGACTCTCAAACTCGTTGGTAAGAGCTTTGAAATTCCTCTCGATATCATCAATACTGATAAAGTACTGTTGTGTTTGAGAGTGTGACTCATGCATTGCATTAGTGTGATAAAAATCGCACTCCATCTTAATACTCCATGGCTCTTAATGCTCCGTCATCTCTTCTATGTCTGTGTCAAGGGAGGGGCCACTATCACATGATAATTACAGTAAGTTACAGTTACTGTGTTATGCCGGTACTGAGTAAGTGCGCACTTTCTAATTTCATAATAACTGTGAGCAGGATTTAGCATAAGAATGGATC